ACTGACGGTCGAACAGGTAAACGTTTTTACTTGTAATTTGTTTTTACTAGAAATATTTCTGTATCGTCATGAACATATCAGCCGTTATCTGCCCACTACGGAACATGGGAGACCTATGTACCCATTAGAAATCAGAGACGTGCTCGCTGAAGAGACAGTTTGTAATCATAAATTTTTCAGGCATTCATCATCATTTCAGCCATTATCCGTCCACTGCTGGACATAAGGCACTTGGTTGGTTGACTAGTAGAGAAAACTGTCCGGTGTTAAGTCCGCCAGATGTACATAGTTACACTATGCATTAAAGTTTAAATAAGTTACAGAGATTACAGAAACATGAAAATACTTCTATCTTTATATTTTTGTCAACAATTGAGTACTTACCCATGCAGACAACTTTTATACTAAACAAATACATGAGTAATATCTCTGACTTTCAACACGACCTTTGCGATGACCAATTTATTTCCCAAAAGTCCTACAGGAAACGAAAAATAAAAGTTTCTCACAGGCAAAACGTTAGGGAACACCTAATACCACTATTGTTATAAATGGGGAAGTTTTTGAGGAAGACTGGATGGATAGATCTTTGTTACTCCTTCACGCAAAAACTACTAAACGGATTTGAATGAAATTTAGTGCACATATAGGTTATATCCTATACTATATAGCAGATTCAACGGAACTAAGCTGCAAAGTACACCTTTTTAATAATAAGACAAAGTTATGGACATCACATTTATTTATCAATATTTCTTTGCTATTAATACATTTGGCAGTTTTCAGTTATTTTTACACTAGCAATAATTTCAATAAGCATATAGCGTATTTACAATAGATTAATTTCGGTTCTAGTTAATTAGACTCATATAAATTAATAGAATCAATTAAAAATAGGAAGAGTTTCAATCAAATGGTATGAGAAGCTTTTCGGTTAATTGTATATAGATATTATATCGGACAATTGTACCGTTACGATATAATAAGAGAGCAAAGTTCATGTATTTATATGTACTTATATACTCTGTTTTAATAAACTTAAAGACAATTTAAATAAACCAGTAATTGTCCCTAAAACAGTATTCTAATATTCAATAGTAGTTCAAATATAAAATCAATTAATTTTTTGAAAATTACGACTTGTTACTAATTTCATTTATATGGTGTTCTTTACAGGATGTGATTAGAATAAGTACAGTATTAATTGGTATAAGACTAATAAACTTTAGTTTACCTTACAGTTCTTATGATAAAATTAACAAAATTTGGTATTTTTTCATTAAGTTTATTAAAACAAATTAGGTGCTATTAAATCCTGTACGTCCACGATATCATCTAGGAACTATATCGTGACGGTACAATTCTCTCTACGAGCGCTTTTATGCCTTTTTATTTTTTATTTGTAACTCGATATACAATTTTGTTATCAGAACAAAAAAGGCATATGGGAATTTTAAATTTAAATTTTTCGCAATGATATCGTAAATACGCATGAAAATGGATAAAATTTACTCTTCTATTGTATCGTGACGGTATAATTGTATGATATTGTACCTACTGTACATTGTAAAAACGTAATTCTAGCTTCGATCACATTATAGATTGGAAAAAAAATTATGTGATTTTACAATTTAGTTAACAATGTCAATTTTGAAATTGAAAACCCTTTTTAAAAACAGTATAACAAACAATTAAACATAACTTGATGATAGTAAGATATATAAAAAAAAAATGTCCTACTTCACCGATTTTAATTATTTTTTAAAGTAACTTCAGTTAAATTAAATAATTACTTTATTCCCATTTTGGTTAATACCAACATAAATAAATACTTTCAACTTGATTGAAGTTAGATTTTATTGTGAAACAAAATACTTTTTTATTTATTTTTCCTGCAATTATTAATCTTAGCCGAACTCTATTGAACTTAATTGAGAATGGTCGAAAATTGACACGTAATATATAGCAATTGCGCCTTCTATTTATCTTCGTATCTGTGACCTTACCATTAAAAATACTAGCCTATACAAATAAGACGACACTGTATAACGTTTAATTATAATAAATGCTACAAATATCTAACAACTAATATATCTATATTACATTACACACAGTAATTACAAACATCTGATTATAGATATTTCCATAATTTAATTAGATAACATTAATTTACGTACAACTAAAGTAATTAAGTATGTTATTTGCTATTTACACGATCGTTTTCAAACATTATATTACATTTTAAACTATATCTATATACACAAAATAACGTAAAGCGAGGCCATTATATTCGTTATGTAAATATAAATAGATAGTCAATTATTAAAGCATCGAGCATACGGCGCGCCATATGGTAAGCGGTTACCGTTTTCTATGGTTGCTGCAATACTGGAGGTGTCACGTGCGTGTTTCCGATACTGATGAGTTCTTAATATGCCAAAGAACCCCAAGCTATCCCATGATATTAATATTAAAGTAACAATTAGAAAGTTGTTTAAATCCTTTTATGTAATACGTGTAAGGGAAAGTGGGGGAAACAAGAACAATTAATTATTTTAAAAACCATACATACATATATATATATATATATATATATATATATATATATATATATATATATATATATATATATATATATATATATATATATATATAAAAGACATATTTAAAAGACAATGAAATCTGAAGCACACAAAAATCTCTTCAATATAACTTTGTCATGAAAACAAATTCACAATAACTTTGTTATTATTGTTTATATCTATTTAATTATAAACTTACAGATTGAAATACCTACCAATTAAATGTTTTAATTACAGTATTGCTACCAATAAATATAGGTAAATATTATTTAAAGTAATATTCATAATATTGTTTTTCTGTGCGGAGCGATTACGGACGGACCATTTTAACAAAACAGCTAATAAAGAAGGAAAATAACATATCGTCAAATAAACAATTAATATTAAATTAAACCAAATTTACAGGAATATTGATTTATGACAATGTGTGTATGACTTAATGTGTTTTTAATGGAAAATTTGAGAAACTCATGTTACAGATTATGTTTGTCAGTTCTAACAAACCGGCTCGTGGGTGGGGGGGGGGGGGGAGGGAGAAGGTATTACAGGGTGGCCCATAAGTCCTTAGCAATGAAAAAAATTAATTAAAATAAAACTAATTACACTATGAATAATATTTTTATTTGTAAATATAGCTAGAAAAACGGGAATTATTTTTTGTAAATAACGTCATCCAAATGTAATCCGTTACAGTCACGGCACTTTTGCAAACGCCTTCTGAAATTGTCGATGACTGCGCGGCACGTCACTGCTGAAATGCTTGCTATTTCTCTACGGATGTTTTCTTTTAGGTCATTAATTGACCGCGGGTTAGAGTCGTACACTTTAGCCTTAAGGTAGCCCCACAAAAAAAAATCCATTGGAGTCAGATCCGGGTTACGTGGTGGCCAGGAAATGTCTCCTCTCTTAGAGATAACTTTGTTTGGAAAAAGTTGACGGATAACGGGCATAGCAGTATTGGAGGTGTGGGAAGTTGCTCCATCCTGTTGAAACCATGTTCGGGCATTAAAGCCTGGAAAGTTTTGCAATTTTTATGTGAAAAACTCCTCGATCATGGCCACATATCGCTCCGAAATCACAGTAACAGCACGCCCTCTGCCGTCCTCAAAAAAGTAAGGCCCTATGATGCTATGGGCTGACATAGCGGCCCAAACTGTAACTTTAGGGCTATGTAAGGGCTTCTGGTGCTTAAGTTTTGGATTAATCGGGCTCCAATAGCGGCAATTTTGTTTACTAACATGTCCGTTAATGTGGAAGTGTGCCTCATCAGAGAACATTATGTTATTGAACGAAGTAAACCGATTAAACATTTCATTAGCATAATTCACTCTCTGAATAGCATCAGTTTCTTATAATTCTTGCACCAACTGAATTTTGTAAGGGTGCATAAGTAAATCTTTCTTCAAAATCCGTTGTAACGATGTCCTGGATACGTTTAATGCACTGGAACGCTTACGAGTTGACTGTGTAGGATTTTCACGAATAGATTGTGCCACTGTGTCGATGTTTTGTTCCGTACGTGATGTCCTTGGGCGACCCAACCGCGGTTTATCTAACGTCGAATCGGTCTCCTCGAACTTAGCAACCCAATTCTTAATCGTTTGGAGAGCTGGGGTGTCATCAAAGTTGTGTAAACCTTTGTGTTCTCGAAATTTACGCCTCGCAACGGTTGCCGAATTGTTGTTTTGATAAAACTCGCGCACACAAAACGCTTTCATTGTCACCTATCATCCTTCACTGATGCCCCGGCAGCGTATATCGATAGCACAGACGGGGTTACCGTTCCATTATCACCCATTAAAAAAGCCGTCTCGTGGAGGAAAGTCGTTTTAAGATAATTAAAATAAGGCTCGAAACTCGAATAAAAAGTGAAATGTAAAAATAAACCTCATTTCACTGACTTAAAACTCTATTTTAAACGTGACCAATATCTGCTTTCTTCGGGCCGGTCTGTGTGAACGGACACATTTTCATTATTTTTGTCAATTCCTAATTACCTAACATCGTTTGGTTTTACCCGAATGCTGAGGATTTCGTTTTTTCTTTAGAATGTTACTTTTTGTAAAAAAATAAGAAATAATGTTTATTGAAGCAGATATTTGGCGTATAATCTCTTATTAGAGATAAGCTCGCCTTTGTACATTATGTTTATAATGAATTGTAATTACCAGTATGTTTTGTGTACAATAAAGAATAAAGAATAAAGAATATAGGCGTATTTAGGGGGTGGGGATGTGAAATATAGCAAAGATATGTCTAAGAATACATGTACGCCTTTTTAAAGGGCGCCTCCTGAAAAATAATTTTAAATATGGCAATACTGAATAATATTTTCTTAAGAAACAATAAAAGAAAATATGTGTCAACCTTTACATTCTATTTAAGTTTTCTTTTAGGGTTTCGTATTTTCCCCACTTTCCTCTATTTGCATAGCACGTGTAGGATATAGCATGCAATTTGAGAGGATTTCTTATGATCGGACTAGAATGTACGTCGAGGATTATTTTTCGTAGGACTTAAAAAAGGGGGAAGGTAAAACAAAAACAAAAATGTTGTCCACAGTCGAAAAGTCTCTCGTTTACACAGGCAATTAAAGACAGAGGATTAAAAAGCCCAACTTCACGATTCAAAACAGGATTGGCTTTACATAACCCGCCGAATTTAATAGGCCTTTTGCGCTAAAAGCATAACACTTAATGGAGTAGTACAATTACATGGGCGTGTTATACAAAGCAAATTCTATTATGATTCATGTACATAAAGATTTATAACCTTCAGGGACTATAACAAATTACTAAAGTGGCCCTTTTAGATTAATCCAGATCCGTATGTGGGCAAATTTTAGGCCATCGATTTCATAAGATGATCTTCTCTGGCCTAATTTTTGTACATATCAGCTAAGACTTTTTCCATTGGTGTCTGTCCTATGGTCTTTGCGAAGAACTCCCTCTCCAACTGTTGGGGGCTGACGAGTCTTAATAGGGGAAGTAGAAGAAGTAACCTCCCAAACCTGGCCGGAGCAGCACCGTGCGCGGTCCTGGCATGCGTCATCAGCATCACTTGTGCTTGATCTTGGAGATTTTCAATTTGGAGCGGATCTTTCAGGCCTCGAGTTTCTGTGTGGAGAAAATAGTAAGAACATAAAGATATATACGCAAAATTGAAATCACTGTTGGGGGTTTCTTTAATGAGTGAAGATGGTATGGTAATCCTTGTTACAACTATCGGTATATGCTGGCGGAGCACCAATGATAAATATTAAGTTAAAATAAAAGCAAGTCTGTCTATGTCAAAGCCTAAGATTAAGCTATGGAAACCATGGAAATTATTTCTTGTTTAATTCATCACGATGAATTAGCTGGCCTGACTTCATCTTTACCTATCATCCCGGGGAGAAAGGGATTGTTAATAATGGGGTCAAATAGCCCTAACCTGTTAGGTTGCTCTTCACATGGTTATCTCTGGAATCCATCGTGGTTCATTCTAGTTGAATTCGTTAAGATGAGCTAGCTGATTTGTTTTCAACCGCATCTGTCATCTCTCACTGGTGTCCCACCAGTGTATACTGATAACGCAGGCGGGCTTACTATATGAGTTCCTCGCTGGTACATCTGTACTCATACATTATTGGCACTAGTGGGATAACCATGATCATGATTAAAAAAAAAGACAGCAAAACTGACCACCTTAGGGGTTTCTTACCTATCTAAATGTGTATGATCTAGGTAAATGTAATTTTCTGACCTGATTTAAAGAGGACAATAGCTTTCATGCAGGCGAACTCTGCAGGATCGACTAGCACGGCCCGGTAGCGCGCTAACACCTCGCGGAGCCGACGCAACGCTGCTGATGTGATGCCCGTCTCTGCAGATCAAGTATTATCATGTTAAATCGTCATTATCATTTGTATGATTTTCAACAAGTGCAATTTCTGTCTAATTTCGACGACTTTTAGTTTCGAGTCTTCAGAAAAGTTGATGTCGCCAGAAAGTCATTTATAAAGTGCTTCCTTTTTAATTTCTAGGACATCGGATTTCCCGTGGACTCGAAGGTTGAAAGAGTTCATGGAACCTAGTTCTATGAACTCTTTCAACTGTGATTTGTACAGGGATTGTACTAATTGAAAAACACATTATGTCTATCCAGCCAGTGTTCAGGCGTAAAGAGATCTCTGTATAGTTTTAGTGTGGCTAACAAGCCGACGGTTTACTTGATCGAAAGCGGCAATCACCTAAAGACAGCACCATATATATATATATATATATATATATATATATATATATATATATATATATATATATTGTAATTTAACTGCTGTATCCCACCCTTCGAACGAAAACATAGCCATGCAAGCACAAATTTATTTATTTTATTTTATTTATTTTACAACACAGGTGGCAAAGAAGCATGCGGCCCACCTGGTGGTAAGTGACTACCGCCGCCCATTATCACCCACAAAACTAAAGGCATTGCAGGTGTGTTGCCGGCCTTTTAAAAAAGGAATATTAACAGAAACACGATAATCACATTGATAGATTTTATGTCTTAGTTTTGGCGTGTTGTCCCGATATGGAATAGGCCACCCCTTCCTTTCGGTGGGTGTCGTAAGAGGCGACTAACGGAATTTGACGGTCGAAGTGTGGGCAGCAGCGTCCCTCTTAAAACATCTCCAAAAGCCTAATTGCGGATACCAATCCACCTGCCAAGTGTGGCAACTACCGACCCTTATGGGGTAGGCCTATGTTCAACAGTGGACAGTTAATATGAATGAATGACTTTGTTATATCCAATTAAGAATATAAAACGGAATATTACCTACCTTGGTCAATTTGGTCACTGCCAAACAAAGCAGCGCACGCAGCGTCGAGCGGTAGACACCACTGTATAGCATTCAAGAGGAATAACTCTGACCACGCTTCTTCTAGAAGGATCACCTGCAATTATTAAAAGACTAGTTTTATTTGCAACTTCGATTGCATGACCTAAATATATTGGGTGACTGGAAGAAAGAAAATAGGCTATTATTTATAGTCTATTTTCTTCCTTATCCCAAATAGTAATCACCGTGGGGTCCAGGCTTAGAATAGGCCACCCTTTCCTTTCCTGTCGTAAGAGGCCACTAAGGGAACATAACGGTCGAGGGATGGGCAGCTGCGGTTCTCTTTAAACATCACCAAAGCCTAACTGTGGTTGCCAATCCGCCTGCCAAGCGCGGCAACTACTGGCAAACCCCCTTTTATGGTGGAGGCCTTAGTTCAGTAGGGAATAAAAAATGGCAGATATATAATGAGTCCAATCTTTCAAAATGCATCTTTCGTACTGAAGGAAGCTGTTTTATCAATCTTTCATCTGATATTTTTTCCACATGTTTATTCATAGGATATGTAAGTAGATGAGTTTGTATGTAGCGAAGGTGACATAGAAGACCTTGTGATATTGTTTTTATACCACAAAGGTGGTAAACAAGCATACAAACTGTTTAATGATAAACGGTCACTAGTCTATGGACGCCTGCAACACTAGGGGTGTCACGTGCGCGTTACCGTCCTTGAAGAAACTTTAATATACCGTTTTTGAAGAACCAGTAATACAAGTAATAAATAGAAGTAATGAGTACCTGATCTCTGAAGGCGAGACTGGCGAAAGACGGTAAGTTCTTGGCCCATTTCACGGCCATGAAGAGAAGTCTAGCAGCCGTCTCTGCGGCACTCTCAACACCAAGAGGTCTGAAAATTATACAGGTATTTTATAACAAATATTATAAAAATTTAACTTGATATGTCTACACATGGAAGAAATTGAAGTTCAATTATTGGCACCCCCCCCCCCCCCCCCTTTATGGGGGACGCTATGTTCAGCAGTGGTCAGTTAACGGTTGATACAAATAACGACAAGACCCCTCATCAAAGGACAAGTCAAATCGCATTTTCTTTCACTGTAATTCTTCTTTTTCTTTCTTCAGTAATATTTTTTCAGATTCGTCATATTTTTAACAAAAACTTCAAATAAATAACATTTATTTGGGGTTTTTGTGTATTATAGAGTTTTTGTATTTTATGCACTCTTGCGCCACCTACCCGCTTCTATATGTTCTTCTTTAACCAAAGATTGTCTGTAAGACATTGCTCTTATATATATATATATATATATATATTTTTTTTTTTTTTTTTAATCTGTACTTCATGCTACTGTATTTCACTTAAATTGTTTATATGTCATTGTTTATTTTTTGTTTCTGGTGCAATAAAGAGTTAAAAAAATATTATTTTTTTCAGAAATATTTCCCCATGTACAGACATTGCTTAGTTACAATTGTATTAGTAAGATATAAGATATGTCATCTAACTTTTTATGGGTGATAATGCAATAGTAACCTCACCCGCGCTATCGGTATACACCGGCGGGGCACCAGTGACGGATGATAGACGAAGATGAAACAGGTCAGTTAGCCTATCCTGACAAATTCAACTAGAATTAGCCACGATGGTTTCCGGGGGGAACCACGTGGAGGTCGACTTGACAACCCTGTCCCATATTGCTAGTAATAGGGCTATTTGACCCCATTACTAACAATCCTTTCCCCCCTATGTCATCTAATTGGAAAAGTGTAGGAAATTACAGAATCAATAATATTCACCTGTATGGAACACAATTCTGCGGGTAACTGGTCACGGAGGGGGGCGAGTACGACGTGGAATCTTCCTCGTTCGTGACATCGATGCTGTCATCTGAAATACGAACAAATATGTTTTTTTTTATTAATCTTTCTAGTACCTGAACGTAGCTTGTTTTATATTTTTTAAATATATTGACTCTAGAAATACAATCTCGGATTGTTTATGTAAATAGTGAATATAGAACAGCTGTCTTCTAGATAAGCTAGCACATTATTTTATCTTGGATCTGTGTTCCTCTTTGTTATCAGGCGAAGTAAGTCTAAGCGCGAATTTATCGTCATTTAAAAAGAAAATAAAACAGGGCGAAACAGTATACTCTGTTATGTCCATGGTACTGCTCATGTCTATAGACGACGGTTACCACTTTCCATCAGGTGGGCCGTCAGCTTGTTTGCCATTCTAAGTTATATAAAATAAAAAAAAAAAGAAACTAAATATACATAAAGTGAAATAACATGGACAATAATCAAGAAAAGATTAAAATCATATTATCTTTCAAATGTCGCTTGATTACTACCTACTACTATTTTTTTTTATTACAAAATTGTCGTCATTGTGTTAATTAATTGTGTCATTATTTAATTAAATTTGCAATGGGAACTGTTTATATATTCTTTATTGCACTAAAACATACAGTGACAACAATAAGTTTATCACGATGTTAGCAAAGGCGAACTTATCTCTAAAAGAGATCTCTTCCAGTCAACCTAACACAGTGGCATAGGAAGTAGTGAGTGGGCAGTAGTAGTGCAAGACAGAAATTAAAATAAATATTTACATAAATTGTTTACCCCATTACTAACAATCCCCAACACTAATCTATTACACACATTTCATTTGCTGAATGTTGTTACAGAAAAAATAAGACTTTATATTAAGATAAAGCCTGTAATGAGACAGTTGAGACTTTGTAAGACTTGTTTTGAACGTATTTAAAACAAAGTAACTTAGATATATAATTAGAGATAAGTATGTAATTAAAAAATATAAAAAATATATTTAAAGATAAAAAAATTCTTTGAAATCACTGTCAGCTGGTAGGGTGCCTAGGATATTTGCTGCGTTTCCACGCTGAATAGCAATGGAAATGCGTTGTCCAAAGTATAGGCTAGCTTTCTGGTCACCAAAGGTTTCCACCAGTCGGCGTGAAATCTCTTTGAAAAGATTCATGGCCTCGGGGCCCCATGGACCCAGAGTTTCGACTCCAAACGCCGCAAAGTAACGCAACTTAAAACGCCTATAAATATTTAACAGCAAAAAGCTTTCCTTGTGTACTTTTGAGATAGTGAAAAAGTGGACAATCTATAATTTTCTAGAATGCAATGCAAATTATTAAAGATTTTGTTCGATAAAAAATTCATTTCGGCATTCTACGCTGTATAAAAAAAAAAGTCTGGTGGTACAACCCACAACATCCAGACACATTTGGGGGCATAATAAAGAAAAGTTTCCTAAATTGACACGACCGGGATTCGAACCCGGGACCTCATTTACAATATGCAATGTGATCATGACTAGGCCACAGATTTTTTTAATAGGTTATAATGGAATGGTAACCCCACCCGCGCTATCGGTATACACTGGTGGGGCACCAGTGAAGGATGATAGGTGAGGATGAAGCAGGTCAGTTAGCCCATCGTGACGTATTCAACAAGAATTGTTCTCGATCGTTTCCAGGGAGAACCACGTAGAGGTTGACCTAATGGGGCATATTGCCAGCAATGGGGCTGTCAAATTCCATTGCTAACTATCCCTTTCCCCCTGGTCACAGAGGTTATCGTATTGGTTGGTCTCCTGATGGTGGCCACTTACCATCGCTGTCAGTATGCTGGTTGTTCTCCTCATTATTGTCGTGGGAGGAGTCCGGTTGTGGCTGTTGGCTCGGCTGTGGTGGGGGCAACGCAGTATAATGTGGCGATAGCAGCGGATACCGCGCGGGAGACAGCGCCATCGCCAATGACACTGGTGGACTGAAATAAAACAATGTATTTGTTAAGAACATACCAAGCATGACTGTATGTGAACTGTCATATTTTAAAAACTATTACTTACTAATATTATAAATTTAAAAGTGGGATTGTTTTTTTGTTACTTTTTAGCGCCTTAACGGCTTGACCGTTCACTACGAATTTTGATATATGTATATCCCTACCTGTATGTACTTGTTAAGAATTGTAACTTTAATAAATTTCGCCTTTTTTTTACAACACAGGGGGCAAACGAGCATGCGGCTCACCTGATGCTAAGTGACTACCGCCGCCCATGATCATCCACAACACCTACGGCATTGCAGGTGTGCTGCCGGCCTTTTAAAAAGAAATATACTCTTTTCTTGAAGGTTATGTTGTCGTATCGGTTCGGAAATACTGCTGCTGGAATTTGATTCCAAAGAATGGTTGTTTGGCCTTGAAAAAAGACGGTGGAAGACCGCCACTCGTCCAGATGATTGGGATGAAACTTTAGTTTGTGGCGGGTTGTACGGTGGTGAAAATCAGCAGCAGGTATCAATCCGAACAATTCCTCAGAACACTCCTCATGATAAATTTGGTAGAAGATGCACAGAGATGCAACATCTCTGCGCAGTTTCAGTGGGTCAAGTCGCACAGTAAGGCCTGGCAACAATATCGTAAAAAAGAAAATTGTTATCGAATGTGTCGGTAGAATGTGCGTTCGTTGTCGTCGTTCTCGTTTTCGAATATCATCGCACGCGTGCAATGTTGCCGCAAAATATCGTATAAATTAATATATATCGTTTCGTATCGCTTTTAATTATATAACCCATAACCAAGAGGCTGATTGAGAGGAGGGCATTGCACTGCTGGTCGGTTCAAGGTGGTGGATAGGCAACCCGGATCTGAGGGTAAGTTCGAACGAGCCAGAACTTCTGGGAAGCCTAAAGCCAGAACCGAATGCTGCTAATTACAAAGCATCAGATCAGTGGTCTCCACCTTCATTATCCTCTTGTGTTCATTATTTACCTACCATCATCGTAATAATTTTCATACAGTCCACTAATAACCGTTGCCGGACGATTAATTTCAATTTGTAACATCTTATTTTACGAACGGTTAACAGTACTATATGGGATCTATATCCTATACAATACGTCCCATATAGAACATAGGCCACTGGGATGATGGGATTGTTAATAATGGGGTTTATTTTCCACATTACTAGCAATGCACTCTATCAGGTCGACCTCCACGCAGTTCCTCCTGGAATCATGTTAATTCTTGTGAAATTCATCACAATGTGCCAACTGACCTGCTTCATCTTCACATGTCATCTCCCACTGGCCCTCCAGCGTATACAGATGGCGCAGGCGGGGTTACCATTCCATTATCAACCATTAAACAAGAAACATAAAGCCACTTTTTACCTTTTATTTCGATCACGTGGGTAAAAGCTACTAGACCTTCTATTTTTTTTTTATAACACAGAAGGCAAATCATCTGATGGTAAGTGATTTTATTGTTCGTTTTGGGACAGAAAGATTTTTAAATGGCGACCTCGTACGAGCAATCGCACTGTAGTATGATCCCCTACTGTATGGAGTAATGACCTCAAATGCACTGCAGGAGTCAGTGGATGCAGGTGGCTCAGAGACTGTTTTTATGACAGTCTATGGGGAGGCCTATGTTCAGCACTGGATAGATAAAAATGCTTCAATAATGCACCGCCTACTTATTTCTCGATTTGCCCAAAGGTTGACTGGTAAAGAACACCGTCCTGTGTTAAGTCGGCCATATGTATATAGTTTCACTATGTACTAAAGTTTAAATAAATAAATAAATAATGGCTGAGATGCTGATGATGATACAAGGACTTATAATTAGAGAGTTCATTCTATGTTAGTAAAGATAAGGTAATGAAGGCAGTAAGTGCTTTATATTATTCTCAAATTCGTGTGTAATATAGTATATGTTATATATGTGTAAGTATATTTGTTATTTATATATATTTATTCGTTTATATATGTAATTTTAGTATGTATGTATTTTACCACAGGGAGACTTTGTACAAAAGTCGATTGCTTGAGTAACTCTGTCCCATTCGTGTTTCAACCGTGAAGCAGCTGTGTTTGCATGGCTGTGTTTCGATTTGAAGGGTGGGATATGGTGTGAATTTACTGGGTACAGAGGAATAACACCTGAGTCCTCAGGAATGGCAACGCATGGGGGGTATCATGGGCGAAACAGTATACTCTATTATGTCCATGGTACTGCTCATGTCTATAGGCGACGGTTACCACTTTCCATCAGGTGGACCGTCAGCTTGTTTGCCAATCTAAGTTGTATAAAAAAAAATATAAATAATTACTAGTACCGCATTCCAGTATTCTGACACTTCCCTACGGTTAACTAGGAGAGAATACTTATAGCATTAAATCCGCCATGTATACATATACGTATTAATAAATAAATAAAATAAATAAATGAATATCTGAAATGATGACTTGACAGTTCAATGACCTCGTTTATTCAATGCCCTTACCTTTTGTTATCAACCAAGGACGGGAAACATTTGCCAGTCAAATCTGCCAATTCTGTATAGTGCAATGCGATGTAATAGTACCAACATACCAACTGTATACGCATTATGCAAATGTAATATTTATAGAGGTTTGCTTTAAGTTATGGTATTTTTATGGGACGCTCGAATGTATTTACATATTTATGTATTTGGAGACTAGTTGTGGAAAATATTGTAGTTTTATTTTATATGGGATGGGTTTGTGTTGAATGAATATTTATAAAGGAGTGTTGGTATATGGCTGTAATTATGTCTTTTTTTGGAGGTCACAAGTAAGATGAATATTTTTAATACACCATTGGGATTTAACGAATATAAAAAAATTTACACCTACACACCTGATTTTTTAATTAAAAATATATTAAAATACATACATACATACATACATATCTGTCACGCCTGTCTCCCATTAGGGTAGGCAGAAACAATGGAACGCCAAATACTTCGATTCAAACAAACCTCTTTCGCTTCTTCCACACTCATCAATCTTGTCATACACGCTCGCCGGTTACGGGTACTTTTAATTTGGCCCTTCTTCAGCGCGTCGCCTATTTGGTCGACATACGTCCGTCTAGGGCGGCCCCTACCAACATCTCCATTCATTCAAGCTCGAAAAATCTCTTTCGTAATTCTTCTTAAAATAAAAAATAAAATTAAAATAAAATATGGAATAATAAAAATAAATATTAAAATACATATATATTGTATTGTATTGTAAAATCTTTATTGTACATAATTCACATTGAACACTGATAAATGATTTAATATACAATGGTGGACTTATCCCATAAAGGTATCTCTTACAGTCAACCTTCGAGAAGCTGAAAGAAAGAAAAAAGAAAATATTTTAAAATTCATATTTAAATGTGTCAACACGTGAATTTTTAAAACTGAGACGAATATTTTTTTATGCAATTTAGAAAGGCAGATATTATACGAGTATAATATAATTTACCCGTCGCCTATAAACATGAGCAGTGCCATGAACATAACAGAGTATACTATGTCGCCCATGATATCTTTCATGCATTGCCATTTCTGAGGACTAAGGCGTTCTGGTATGTTCGAAGTCGGCAACGGGGAAGTTAGACCCCATTGCTATCAATATCAGGTCGACCTCCACGCGGTTACCCCTGGAGACTGTCGTAACTAATTTACTGTTGAATTCGTCACGGTGGACTAACTGACCTGCTTCATCCTCACCTATCAATTTTCACTGGTACCCAGCCAGTGTATACCGATAGCGCAGGCGGAAGTACAATGCCATTTTGATCTATTAAAAAAAACCCGGTAGTTATTACATTCAAATATTTACAATATTAGTAAAGACCAGAGGGAGACTTTGTACAAAAGTCGATTGCTTGGGTACCTCTGTCCCATTCGTGTTTCAACCGTGAAGCAGTTGTGTTTGCATGGCTGTGTTTCGGTTTGAAGGGTGGGATATGGCGTGAATTTACTGGGTACAAAGGAATAACACCTGAGTCCTCAGGAATGGCAACGCATGGGGGGTATCATGGGCGAAACAGTATACTCTGTTATGTCCACGGTACTGCTCATGTCTATAGGCGACGGTTACCACTTTCCATCAGGTGGATAGTCAGCTTGTTTGCCATTCTAAGTTGTATAAAAAAAAAGATTTACTTACACGTGTAATTATTTTATTTTAAGCCACATAATTATGTTTATTTATAATCGTCCGTCCGTTTATCGATTCACATCTCGTGTATAACTCCGAGATCTCTCACTCTTCGGACGAGGGCGGTCGCAGGCCAGTCATCCATGGCGACCCAACCTTTGATCAGCCTAATAGGCTTGAGGCTTGATTCATACGCCTCGATGGCTTGACGTCAGAGGCTCTTTCCACCCAACGACCCTTAGTTACGACCACTATTTATAACTTGTATTGAGGTACATAATATTATAGAGTTAGTTGGTGGTTAGTAGTCGATCGTGGTAGTGTGGGGGGAACGATCGTTGTTTGAAGAAGTTTTTTTTTAATGGGTAAAAATAGAATGGTAACCCCGTTTGCGGTTTACGCCGGCGCGACACCAGTGAGGTGATGATAGGTGAAGATGAATATGGATCAGTTAGCCCATTGTAATGATTTCCACAAGAATTAACCACGATGGTTTTCAGGGAAAATAGCGTGGAAGTCGACCTAATAAGGCATATTGCTAGTTGGAGCTGTTAGACCCTATTAGTACCAATCTCTTTCCTTGGGGGGAAAGGGATTGTTAGTAATGGAGTCAAATAGCTTTATTACTAGCAATATACCCTGTCAGGTCGACCTCCACGTGGTTCCCTCTAGAAACCATCGTGACTAATTCTAGTTTAATTCGTCAGGATGGGCTAACTGACCTACTTTCATATTCATCTGTCATCCCTCACTGGTGCCCCGCCGGTGTATACTAATAGCGCAGGCGGGGTTACCATACCATTATCACCCATTAAAAATAAAAACTCTTTCCTTAAGTAGAAGGCAGGCCTGATTGTTAGCAATTATCAGGTTTACCTCTGCATAATTCCCCTGGAAACCATCGTGGTAAATTCATCACGATGGGGCCCCACCTGATCTGATTTTATTGTCACTTAATTCTCGACTGAGACTCGAATCCGTCACTTTATTTGGAAAAGCCAAAATTGTTTTGCATATTTGCACAATTAAATCAATTAAAAAGAACCATCTACTTCAAACAATATTTTTTTTAATTAATTAAAACAACTTTTGTTTGAAAAAAGCAACATAATTTGTTGCTTGTTCTTCTTGCGCGAAACTGCAGTCCGAATAGGGCGGTAGATTCATAAAAAAAAGACAATTCAAAAAAGATTATATATTAAGTTTTTTTTTTCTTATTATTCGTTTAGGATGACGATGATACAGAGACGACATGGTCCATGAATACGACGAACCGAAAAGAGAATGTTCCAGTCTCAACGATGGGTTGGTGGTTGGTTCCACTATGCCGGCTTACTAAGTGCTTTTTTATGCTTCTTTTGAAGGATCCGAGGATCTTTTGTTTGAATTTATTTTTATTTATTTATTAAATCATCAAATGCACCGATAAACCATAATTCATAGAATATTTCATATCTCATAAAATATTTCTAAGTAGCTAATGTGTTTCATGAACATCTCGTACATTTGTTGTTATTATCTGATTATGTTATTATTATTTGCGGATCGAAACGTGCTTTTCAACCGACTCCAAAAAGAAAGGAGTTCCCATTTCGGCTGTATTTTTTATATTTGTTACATCCATTCCGCCAGCTATTAACCGATTTGCAAATATCCTTTTTTTATCTGAAGGCGTACACTTACAGATTGGTCCCATAGAAATCAAAATCGGTTTAGTAGTTTAGTTTTGAAATTGAAATGACAGATTTTTCCATATTTTTTTTTATACAACTTAGAATGGCAAACAAGCTGACGGCCCACCTGATGTAAAGTGGTAACCGTCGCCTATAGACATGAGCAGTACCATGGACATAACAAAGTATACTGTTTCGCCCATGATACCCCCCATGCGTTGCCATTCCTGAGTACTCAGGTATTATTCCTTTGTACCCAGTAAATTCACGCCATATCCCACCCTTCAAACCGAAACACAGTCATACAAACACAACTGCTTCACTGTTCGTCTGTAGGAGACTGTTACCATTTTCCATCAGGTGAGCAGTCAGCTTGTTTGATTTCCAAATCCCATAAAAGTTTCTGTAGGAACACAATTTGGGACTTTTCGAGTCTATGGTATAGAGTAGATTAATTTAAAAAATCCATTCCTTAAAACTCGTGGTCTACCATGAAATGAAATTTCGAATTTTCAGGCTCAATTTCGTGTTTTTGTTTGTACAAAAATCGACTCAGTAAATGGAGCTTAACATTTCGTTTATCATAAATTCTATTCTAATAGTCCAGAGGAACGATATTTTAACATTTTTAATAATTTTAAACGGCGTGTATTATGTCATTTTAACATCAAATTTCTGTTTCGTTCGTCCCCGAAATTTCGGAAAATATTTCATGGTAGGCCCTCTGGTGTTTAATACTAATAGATATGGCACAGATTATCTACGATAACATGGCACGTCCATATTGAGATTTTTGTTTTGTTTTTGACAATATATTTTTATTTTATTTTTTTGGTTATAAAGAAATTCTTTTAATGAATCGTACTTTTAACATTAGTTTAAGGAAACAGATATCTTTAATTAACATGTGAATGTGAAAAAGACTCCATTTTCCGTTTCGCGCTTAGCCTCTCACTTGGGCCATTGTGCGTATGAGTCGTGGCTAGTGCAACCAACCTAGCTCCGCCCAGAAGCGCACAAGCTTCCTGGGTTCTTCACAGGCCTCACGGAGCGACCTCACCGTTCCGAGGATTTCTAAACGTTGATGGGCCACAGCCTCACATTTCAGGATTACGTGAGCACTTTAATTAACATACCGTATAAGTATTTTTTGGGCAACCGGATTCCATTTCAGTTCTCGTCATCACACACCCTCAGGTAAAGTATGATCCAACATCCACCCATTTTATATTAAAAAACACTTGAAGGCCACTCACCCGAAGACTCCAACTGCAACGGCGGCTTCCCTGAGCGCTCGCTCCTGATCCATATCCCTGAGGGCCTCAGGTCTGATGGTAGCCGTGTTGCGTGGTTGCCGTTCATTTTGGACAGCTGTAAAACATTGTAATAATAAAAATATTGTATTTACATAGTTTTTAGGACAGAAGAACCTTTTGGTAGGGCAGAAGCCATAATTAAGTGACTTTGAAAAAGCGAAGTTGTCTAAATTTTTTGGGACCTTTCATTTTAAGATAGGGCATTGCCCCTTAATGCCCCCCCCCCCCCCCCCCGTCGTGGTAGCTACAGCCATGTAGCAAATCCAATAAATTAACCCATTCATTTTTTATAACAATGTTTTCCAAAGTTAACTGCATGGAGGTCGACTTGATAGAGTATATGATAGATTTCGTAATGTCACGTATGGGCACCACAGAATATCAGCGCTGTAGCAATTAAATTGCTGCAGCACATGCTGAGTGGTGACCACGTTGGCAATAATAAATGTAAAGTTTTTTTTTTTAATTCATAATGTATGTAACTTTTTGTTGTTGTCAATAAATGTTTTCTTTCTTTCTTTCATATAGCTACAATGCTGTTTATATCCATCAACCTATCATATTAGCCGTTTACTGTCCATTGATGGATAGTATTATAACATAGCCTTGCCCGTAACGGGTTGGTTTAGTCGTTGCCACACTTAGAAGGGAATTGGCAACCGCAGTTAGTCTTAAGAGATGTTTTAAGAGGGGCGTTACAGTTCATCCCACGCTCTCCTTTAGTCGCCTCTTACGACACTCGTGGGAAAGGACGGTGTGTCCTATTCTATGCCGGGACCACACGGCCGAGTTCATGTACATACACGGAGATTTTTTATCAGGTGGGCTGTCAACTTGTCTGCTATTTTAAGTGTTAAAAAAAAATTCTAGCAAACGTAAGTTACTAGTTTTCAGTTTTATCTCTGTAATCGTGATGTTCCACACACGTAGCTACACAATATGAGCGTGTATGATTGATAGTGACATTATCCAAGTATATATACGGAACCCAAGCGACGTACCCGGTCACGTACTAACGCTCTGCAAAAATAAAGCAATAGTCTCGCTCCTCGACCCCCGAGTCTACAAAGTTAGGGGACTGGTGTGGGCTAGAATGTGGTAACTTGCTTAAGTATCAAATAAAATTTTATATCAAGGATGTTTTTATGAAAAAGTTGGGCAATATAAAAACTTGAGTTTTCGCCAACATGCAATGATATAAAATGCAATATATGTACCTACCTATGTTAGAAAAACAAACCTATTTCTAAGAGTGAGATAAGGTACAGAAATAAAACTCCGAAAATGCCTTAAAAGAACAGCTAATCAAAAAGTTTCATGTAGGTACACTTATTATTAAGGATAAAGAGGGATATATACTAACGTCCTTATTCATAAAGTAGTCAAACTTCTCATAAATCTTTTTTAGGTATTGAAGTGTTTTGTCTTTTTTTGCACTAAATTCTTAATTTAAAAAAAAGTGACAAAACACTATAATAGATAAAATAAGTTTGCAGGATGTTTTAATTTCTATAAATAAAGGGGTACACTTTTATCTCGGTCCATTAATATATTGTCAATTGCGAATGCGGGTAAAAATTACTAATTCTTACTATTCTTATGTTTACTAATATTATTATTGCGAAAGTGACTTTGATTGTTATCTCTTGGCGCTTTTATTGATGAATTAATCGTCATAAAATTTGACATTATATGCTTTACATGGGATGAAAAAGAATATATAAGGCTACTTTTTATCTCGGTCACGAGTCGCAGGTAAAACTAGTAACGTCATATGTTTTTCAAAATAAAGTCTCTTTCTTTCTTCATTATTATATGATTTCGTTGATTAAAAAGATTATAAAAAAAAACATAAAGTAGAGAGTTCGACATATTAATTAATCGTAAATTGATATACAAGAAAATTGGAAGTTCAATTTAATAACTATATCCAAACTAGAACACCGCTATCGTTAATTCAACCTCAAAAGTTTTATACAACGAGGCTTCTCGCGTGAAATGCCACTTACAGATATTGTCGCTTACCATTTCCTGCGACACGCCAGCCCCCACCGCCTCCCTTGTGGGGTGGGGAGGGCAGGAACGTTCTATTTGATTTTATTGCCTCGGCTGGAGTCGAATGCGCACCTTTTACTGCTTAACTTTGTGTATATATAGTATATGTATATATACATGCGTATAGATGTTTCAGAGGGTGATTGAGACGCGTCGGTTTATTTTAAACTTTACTTTTAACAAACTATGATTCTTATTACATTATTATGGAAGAGTTTTATTGCTAAACTAGCTGTATTATGCGGTTTCTGCTGCGTGTATATATTAATTAAAAATTAGCAAAGTTATAGGTGTATTCTATATTTTTTTGTATGTTGGTACACAATACCTTTGTTATTTTGAACCGATTAATTAAAGGGGTGTATCTATTACCGTAATACATTGATCAATATTGAAATTGATGTTTTTTGAGTGTAATGCATTAGACAATAATTAAATAGAATTAGTTTATGTATATATTTTTTTTAATGGATGAAAATGGAATGGTAGCTCCGCCTGCGCTATCGGTATATGCTGGTGGGGCACCAGTGAGAGATGATAAGTGAGGATAAAGGTAGGTCAGTTAGCCCATCGCGAAGAATTCCCCAAGAATTGACCACGATGGCTTCCAGGGGGAACTGCGTGGAGGTCGACCTGACAGGGTATATTACTAGCAACAGGACTACTATTCCTCCTCATTACTAACAATCACTCCCCCCCCCCTTCCCTTTCCCAAGATACTTATATGAAGGACAGAAGCCTTTTACTGTAATGGCATAAACATAAAATGTTTTTATTGCCATGTTTTCGTCTTCGATTCCACTTTCTATTCCCTTTATTGCTCACTAGCTGTACCTGCGACTTCCTTTATATATTGATTGACCGGAATAAATAATAGGTCTACCTATGTGATCAAGGGAAAGGAATTGTTAGTAATGGGGACTAGCATCCCCATTGGCCTCTCAGGTTGACCTCCGCGCGGTCCGCACTGGAAACCATCGTGCTTATTTAAAGATAAATTAATTACTGTGAGCTAAGCCTTTTCATCCTCACCTTTTTTTATATAACTTAGAATGGCAAACAAGCTGACGGCCCACCTGATGAAAAGTGGTAACCGTCGCCTATAGACATGAGCAGTACCATGGACATAACAGGGTATACTGTTTCGCCCATGATTTGTCATTCCTGAGGACTCAGGTGTTATTCCTCTGTACCCTGTAAATTCACTGCCATATCTCATCATGAAAAGGCAGGTTAGTTAGCCCATCGTGATGAATACACCAGGAATTCAGTACAATAGTTTCCAGGAGGACCGCGAGGAGGTCGACCTGAAAGGGCAAATTACTAACAACGGTGCAGTTAAACCCCATTACTAACAATCTCTTTTCTCCCCGCGAATTTCATTTATGGCCTAATAATATTTCGGAATATTTTAATAATAATTTAAAAAAGTGTTTTAGTTTGTTTAGTTCGATTTATTGTCGCCTAGTTTTAAGATTTTTAAGTTATGGTCGACTGACTCTGGCTGTATGTCGATTCCTTGGCACGAGAAGCGTATTAAATATAAAAAAAAAAAAATCACAAACTAATCTGTATTCAAGAAAGCAACCACGCACGATCACATCCGAGAACTATAAACTGTCGCTCTATCTAACATAAATTTATAACCCACACACACACACACACGCACACAAATAGTTGCCCCCTTGTCTCACCCCAAACTATAAATCAAATCGCCCCTCCCATATCCTGCCGCAGCCATCTTTGAGGTCTCACTTCCGGTGTGCGCGAAAGGGACAGATATGTTGTAGTTACAAACGTGAGTGAGCTAGACAGTTAGATTTTGTGATTTTTGATTGTTGGATTTAGTAAGTATATTTTCAAAAACGATTAGACTTTTTTTATAAGTTAATTACAGTAATATTTGTATTCATTTAACCTATATTAAACATAATTTAAGTTCGTTTAAATTTATGTTCGTTTGTGATATTATTTTACAATAAAAAGTAACTACACCTAGGTAAGTGTAAATACTCTGGGGGCAAGGAATTGTTAATAATGGAGTGTAACAACTTTATTGCTAGCAATATACACTGTCATGGCGATCTCCATGCGGTTCTTCAAAACCATCGTTGATTTTTATGGAACTCGTCACGATGGGCTAACTGAGCTGGTTTTATCCTCACCTACTGGCCTTCTACTGGTGCTCCGCCAGCGTATACCGTTAGCGCAGGTGGAGGTTACCATTCCATTTTCACCCATAACAAAACACACTGCACACCATCATCGTTTGTATTTTATATATATATATATATATATATATATATATATATATATATATATATATATATATATATATATATATATATATATATTATTATTATTATCAATGTAAATAAGTTAATATAATGACACATATAAACGTATTCAAGATCTTAATTCTATTTAAAATTATAATATAAATGTTAGTACTGTAACTTATTTAAACAACAGTTATGTTTTTACGAAAAATAAAATTTCATTTCATTTGTTCATTTCGTTCAATGAACCCATGGTCACAATTTAACTTTGTCCTATACTAACTTATTATTTTATTAATAAACAATTAAAACTTTATATTACTAATGTCTTATTACGTTGGAAATTTTTTTTTTTTTATTTTCAGTAGACTTCAAAAAGGAAGTTCTCAAGTCAGTTTCAATTCAATTAACTTTTCTGATTTGTTACCTCGTAACCTCGTCAATTGTAAATCGATTTTAAAAATTTGTTTTTTTTTTATTAGAAAAGATATACTTATAGACTATTGCTATAGAAATGTTATTAAAATCGGTTCAGTAGTTTAGCTTTTAAGTCGGCTTATTGTTTGTAAAAACAATCTTATAGCATTCCTAAATTTAAACCATTACAACAGAACACTTGATTAACATTGTTGTACTTAAATAACTTTATTTTCCTTTTATTGTCTAAGAATTCTATTACTATTCGTCTCCATAAAAAATACTATCACATTCAAACATCCTA